TGTGGATGATTTTGAACTGATATGAGTGCTGTATAGGAAAGGCTTGTGGTGGTGGCTAAGAGTAGTTGGGAGGTTCCCAGAGGAAAGGAGGCTCCAGCTGAGATCTGAAGTTGAGGAAGAACTATCTAGGCCAAAGAGGGGGAAAGAAATCTTAGGCAAGAGACCAATCTGTGCAAGACCCCCGTGGTAGGAGGGAGCCTGAGGCTTACCAAGAACTCAGGTGGTGATGTTGGGAGTGAGGAGAAATGCAGTACAAAATGAAGCTGAAGAGGAAGGCAGGCCTGGATAATGTGTAGTGAAAAGACCAGTCTGGCTACAGGGTAGAGGAGGGATGAGGGTGGAGGAAACAGAAAAATGGAGAAATCAGTGCGAAGGCCACAGCATTGTCCAGACAAGATTGGATATGATGACAGCTGGGATGGAGAGAAGCTGAGGAATGGTAGCCAAGAGGATGGAGAGAAGCAGATGGACGAGAGGGATATGTAGGAGAAGAGAGGTGCCTTGAGACATTCAAAGGAAGATGTATACTAGGCAGTTAGACATGTGGGTCTAGAGCTCAGAGGAGAGGGGAGAATTAGAGATAGAGATGTGGGGGACCTAGGGGTATGTATGGTGGGGGAACTGGATGGCCTAGACATTGAGCATGGGGTGAGAAGAAAGAGGGTCTAGGATTGAGTCTTGGACAACTATTAATATTGGGTGAAGAGGAAGAACCCAAAAAGGCCCTGGAGCAGGAGCAGCAGGGAAGGTGAAAAAGGAAAACCAAGTGTGGCTTTATAACGGAAGAGTGTGTGTGGTTTCAAGAACTAGGGAGTGACCATCAGCGTCCATGATACAGAGTAGTCAAGTCAGATGGAGAAATGAGGGAAGATAGTCCTTTCAAGAATTTAGCTGTGTAGGAGGTTGGGGGAGGTGGATACAACTCCCTCACCAGGGTCAGCTGCCTCATGAGCTTTCCTTTAATTGTGGACATTTTTCCTTAACTAACAACCTGCCCCTGTTCCAAGGATAGACATAAACTGGGGGGGTATGACGCATGGGGTTGTGTGTGCCCAATTTAAAACTGCATTAAAGAACATCTCTGAATAGTCATCACCTCAGGTCAGTGGACCATGTTACCAGTCCTCATGTAGCATTTGATTTCACCTTAGAAGCTTATATTACCTTTTAATTGCTTTTCCTTTTGTTGCCCTAGGAGAGATAGGCTTCTATTATTTTTATTCCCCTCCTCCATGAATGGGAGAGAGAGAAAGGAGAGGGTGTGGCCGATTTCAGTCAAAGAAAAAAAAAGTGAATCCTGTAGAGGACCCTGTTAATATCCTCCCTTGTCCCCTAGCCTCCATCTTCACAAACTTTTTAAAAGACTTGTCCATACTTTTTCACATTCCACCATTAATCTACCTTCTCCTTCATGGGCATTGGTCTCCTCAAGGTCACCAACAGCCAACAAACCAAGTTCCACTGCATTTGACACTCGATCACTTCCTTTGTGAAACTCTCTCTCCTCTCTCCCCCAATGTGTCACTCTCCTGGTTTCTTCCGTCAATAAGAAATCATCCAGACTTTGGAAGTAGGAAAATGAATAGGAAAAAGAACTACAATGATGTCCTCTCAGGGTCAGGTGCTGTTCAACGTGCCAGTTTAACCTGGGGATCATCTGATTTTCTAAGGAACATGTACCTTTGCTTGACTTCTGATTTACTATTGAGTATTTTACAACTCTGTAAGAGTAGAGGCTAATTCATAGGAAACTTATAATGAGTAAATGATTCTTGTCCAATAGCAATGCAAATATTTTCTGTCTGATAAGGGGGAAACCCAAAGGTTGCACTTTCTTGCATTGTAGGGCATTAACCTTTGTTGTTAAGTTCATTGCAGCATTCCTTTGACCAACTCTGTATTCATTCTCAAATTCTCTTTTGAACTAGGGTTAATATCTTATTGATGTCCTCATTCATTAATCAGTGAATAAAAGCGTTGACATGTGTTCATTTTATATTTAAGTAACATTTTTTGAGTTTTTGGAAATTATTCTTTACCCCTCCTAATTCTGTGGCTCCACCTCAGCAGGCTGCACTGAGGACAGAGGTGAAGGGGGTGAGGTAGGGTTAAGTTAGGTGACCAAAAAGGAATAGGCACAGAGGGCATTCCTGGCAGGAGTCTAGGAACCCTCGTGTTTGCCTGTTGCCCTGGCTTGCTCTGGATTCCTAATTCTCCTGCCAGCTAGAACTCCCCCAGGGAACTGGTTTTCCTCCGAACTGTGCTGAACTGCAATGCCTGAATCCTCAAGCAACAGGGTTCCTATCCTGTGGGAGAGTCTGCCCAGCTTTTTCTGCTGGCCTCCAGAGGCCACAGCTGAGGAAGGACTGCTTCCTCCTCTCCCTATTCCCCACCCCTTCAGGCCTAGAAAACAAGTGTAATGCTGGGGTCTATCACTGTCACCCAAAGCTGGCCACCCCAAGCACAAACTTTCTTTGAAATGTTCTTAAAAATTCATGCAAATGCATTCCAGGCATTCAATCCAATTTTGTTAACTACTGTGTCCCTTTCACCAAATAAAACTAGCCCTCTAAAGAGCCCCATCTTGTGTTTGTGCTGTGATTCAGCTCACGTTTAAGAAAAACTTTGATGTGTTGTACTCCTTCTGTTGGGTCCTACAACTACATATCATTCAATCCTCACACTCTCCTTTGGGGGGGGGTAATATTATCCCATTTTACTGATGAAGAAACAGATTTTGAAGGGTTAAGTGGCTTGCCAAGGTCACACATGGTGTAAGGGACAGAGCCAGTCAGTTTGAAACCCAGACAGGTCTGATGCTGATTATGCCCTCCCTTGGTTTATAATTATTTGTTCCTCCATGGTTAGAGCTAGTAGGGCCTCAGAAACCCTAGGGTCCCATTTACACCCTCTTCAGATGGGAAGACAGGCCCAGGTAGGGGCCAGATCTAGCCCAAGGTAACATAAAGGAAGGTGCAAAATCAGGACTCAAAGCAAAAACTGACCAGTGGTGCCCTCTGGAAATCTAGAGGACTCTCCCTGTCTTCCAACCAGGCTATCAGAAATGTTGCAAGAAACCATGCTCAGGAGTTTACAGTGGACTGAGCTCTGGGGAGTCAGGAAATTGGGGTTCAAACTCCGGGCTTTGGGCAGCTCACTACTCTTCTGGAGTCTCAATATTTGTGTATGTAAAATGGGCCAGTTATTGGGAGACTTTAAAGAGACAACAGTTGGCAAGGAAGTAGGCTGTAAACGTACCAACTGCCTAAAAGTGATAGACCAAGGCTCTGGAACCTTAAGCTCAGATTCAGATTTTATCCCTTAAATAGCCTGACCCAGGCGCCTAGGTGGCTCACTCACTCAGTTGAGCATCCCACTCTTGATTTCAGCTCAGGTCTTGATCTCAGGGCTGTGAGTTCAAGCCCCACATTGGGCTCCATGCTGGAGCCTACTTAGAAAAGTAAAAAATGGGGGCGCCTGGGTGGCTCACTTGGTTAAGCATCTGCCTTCCGTTCGGGTCATGATCCCAGGGTCCTGGGATCTGTCCTGTTGGGCTCCTTCCTCAGAGGGGAGCCTGCTTCTCCCTCTACCTCTGACTGCTGTTCTTCCGCTTGTGCACACTCTTTTTCTCTGACAAACAAAGAAAATCTTTAAATAAATAAATAAATAGCCTGTCACATTGTCAACATTGGGTAAATTTCTATGCCTCAGTTTCCTCATATGTGAAATGATGCTAGTAATAGCACCTATTCAATAGAGTTGTAAGATATCAAGCTGTCGGAACAGTCACTGACATGTAATGATCATTTAGTAAAGCTGCCTTTTTTTTATTTGATTTTTTTATTATGTTATGTTAATCACCATACATTATATCATTAGTTTTTGATGTAGTGTTCCATGATTCATTGTTTGTGCATAACACCCAGTGCTCCAGGCAGAACGTGCCCTCTTTAATACCCATCACCAGGCTAACCCATCCTCCCACCCCTAGAACCCTCCCCCCTCTAGAACCTTCAGCTTGTTTTTCAGAGTCCATCATCTCTCATGGTTCGTCTCCCCCTCCGATTTCCCCCCCTTCATTCTTCCCCTCCTGCTATCTTCTTCTTTTTTTTTTATAACAGGTTTACTGCTCAAGGCGAACCTATTCTCTAAGTGCAGGTTACACCGATCTCCCCAGGCCCCGCCCCATCCAGCAGGCCCCGCCCGCGTCCCCACTTGGCCCGCCTTCTCTTCACCAGGTCCCGCTCCCGCTGTCCTGGGTTCCTCCCGCCACCAGGGGGAGGCGGCGCTGAGGGGGAGGGGTGTGGTGCTTCTAGCCGATGTAGGCGACACTCTAGGGAGCAGCGGCGGCTGCTCTGTGGCCAGTGGGGGCGGCGCTCTAGCCGGCGAGTGTGCGAGGCGGGCTCTCAGTGGTGCGGCCGGCAGGCGGCTATGGCGGCCGTACGGGGCCTGCGAGTGTCGGTGAAGGCAGAGGCCCCGGCGGGGCCGGCTCTAGGGCTCCCGTCGCCTGAAGCGGACTCCGGTTTGGAGCGTGGCGAGCCGGAGCCCATGGAGGTGGAGGAGGGCGAGCTGGAGATTGTGCCCGTGCGGCGCTCGCTGAAAGAACTGATCCCGGTACGGGCGGGGGGCGGGGGCGAGGAGGAGGTCGCTGAGCTAGTGCCCCGCGGCCGAGCCGGCCGGAAGGGGAGGTGGCCGGCGCCTGGGCCGGGGGAAGTCAGGGGAAGGGGAAAGAGGGGAGTGAGCGCTCGGGGGCGGACGCGCCAGGCTTGAGGAAAGACGGGGAGCGGGAGAAGGGACGCCAGGGCGCCCGGAAATGGGTGTTGAGGGGGCTGGAGAAAATGGGGGAGACTAAGGGGTAATTGAGGACAATCCCTCTGCTGCCTCTCTGAGCCAGGCCGTGCAGGGGGGTGAGCGAGGAGGGGCTAGAGTTGTCTGGGGGTTTGAGATAAAGGCGGGGCCCCGGGCGGGAACGGGAGGAACTGTCGGGTGACGCCTGCATCAGGGTCTCCGTTGGAGCTGATGTTTGTTAAAATACAGCACTCGCGGTTTCTCTTAGAGGGTTGGACTTGTCAGCAGCAGAAACTTAGTGTTTCTTTTGTGACTTGAGAGTCATCTTGTCCCCATTCCACTTGCTCTGTAGCACCTACACCGTGGCCCCGGCATGTGACCCTTAGTGAGACCAAAACATAAGCGAACCAGCAGTGGTCCTTGGTCCGTCTTTTATCACATGGGGGGCGGGGAGAGGTGTTTTGCTTTTGGTCTGGTGGTCCTATGTCCCGTTCTTAGGGCTGGTCTCAGGCCTGCATGGCTCTTATGTACTTAATTTCTCATCTAACATGAACTAGTTTTTACCACATGTCAGCAAGTCTGGCTTTTAAATTGAAATTGTGGGAAAAAGCGAAAAAGACAGGATCACTAAAGATAGCAAATGATAAAGACTCTGGTAACAACAATTAACATAGTGGCATTTTACCATTTACTACATTATGTTGTTTAAATATCAGTGCAGTTGTGAAGTAGATATTATCCCTTTATTCGTTCAGTGCGACATGCAGCCAGGCACAATCCTAGGCCCTGGATCAAGATCAAGATCAAACTCTCTCCTGGAGTTTATGTTTTAGTTGGAGGACACAAATTAAGAATTTCTAATAGTGGTAAATGCTATGAAGAAAGTGAAACGTGTTAATGGGACAGAGTGCAGAAAACAGGGAAGGTATGCAGAGCGGGAAACCAAATGGGCTAGGATGGTCAGGGAAGTCCTCTGATAGTGACTAGTGACAGTTAAGCTGAAGCCTGAGTGACAAAAAGGAGCCAGCCAAGTGCAGATTTGGAAGAAAGTATTCCCAGCAGGGGCCACAGTAGGTGCAAAGGCTATGAAATGGGAACACAATTGTTTTGTTGGAGAAATGGAAAGTTCGGGAGAGCAAATGGGAGAGCAGTTAAAGAGGTTAGGAAGGTAGGCAGATACCATGGAGGAAAACCAGGCCCATAAAGGCCAAAGGAATTGTACAGTGTCAAGTACTTAGTGAATCTCAGAGCTGTGGCTTCCAAGTCCCATCCTCTTTTCATTGCATTGTGCTGTGTTTTCCTAGGAAGTCTAGGTGAGTCTGGACTTTCTGCATTTTGGTGAAGACTTGTGCTCCACCTGGTGGCCTGGCATGATGAATTTGTCCTATGTGGGCTGGGGAGATGAGTGAGTGTGCCTTACTTAACTTGGACATTTTTCATGAAAGCCTGTAGATTTTCATTTACATAAATACCTTCAGCAGATGGACTTAGTTAAGGTTTGGGACAGGGTCTGACCTAGAAAAGAATTCTTGTTAGAGTGGTTGATTGCGTACTACCTGGAGTTACTGAGACGGGCTTCCTCATAGTAAAGGGTTGTCAGGGTGAGGAAGGATTGCTGAAAGGAATGACTACCCAAAAGGAATCTGTTGCGGGCCTGTCTTTCATCATGAGTTTTTCTTCAGTTGCTGTTAGCATTTCTCACTCTTCCCCCTCGTGTTAGGACACAAGCAGAAGATATGAAAACAAGGCTGGCAGCTTCATCACCGGAATTGATGTCACCTCCAAGGTAAGACAGACCATAATTTATTTATTCATTTTGATAAGCAGGTGAACTTAATGAACTTGGTCCCTTGGATTTGTGGAACAGCAGTTACTCTTTACCTCCATTTTTCTTTTGTTGCTTGATTAAAACATTTTTTTAACTTAAATTTTATATTACACAATGATGCCTTCATGCATCCTGAAAACACACAGGCAGCTTTTGTATTCTTACATTTGTGAAAAGATAAAATCCATGTACCTTGTTGCCTGTGCTTAACCATAGCTAAGAAAAAGTTCTGCACTGGGAATGTTTTTTTTATGTTATGTCTACTCTTTAAAAATGTGTTTTTAAATACTGTTTTTAATACTGTTTCCACTTCAACTGAAACAAAACATGAAAAGTACCTGGCATATAGGAGGCTGTTAGTAAATGTCTTTATTTTTCACTGGTTGCGGGCTTAGAAAAATAGGATTTCCTGATTGTGTGACTGTCTAAACTTTGAAAGCCAAGTCAGCTGAATTATTCTCAGTACCTGGGAGTATTGCCTTTTATCTAGTGACTGCTATTACTAGGTTACCAGCTTTCCTATAACTCTTTACAGAGCTTAGCCTATTTTTTTCCTTATTATAAACAGTATACATTTGTTGCTTTAATTGGATACTTGGTAGTATCCAGCTTAGACATTCATTCTGATTTTAATGTGTGCAGTTTAGAACAGAATTTTGAATTATAATTCTGAATAATAGTACTGTTTAACTATATTGGGCATATAAAAATAAATATGTCATGCTTACCTTTTTGTATTTTATCTGGGTCTCAATCTGTCTCAGATTGCTTAAAGGCCAAATGAAAGAACTAGTCATCTTTTAGACAGGCAAGAAAATAGAATAAAGTGAAGATGTTTTCTTACTGTAATTGAAAAAGAAGTAGATGGTTCTGTTCTTACTCTTGTACGGTTAGCCATTATGTGAAACATATATGAGGGAAAGGGTGGTAGCCCCAGAATTGGGACTTAAGTTGTTACTAAGGAAAGGTAGATTTGTTGTTGGCACTGGGAAGACTTCAGTGAAGAAAATTAGCAGAACTGTTGGGGAAAAACAAAGTGCTTTACCAATCCCCACAAGCTTTCTTGTAGTCAGACCTTCAATTAGTGTTGCAAAGTCAATGTACAATTAGTGAAGAGTTCCTAAGAGCTATCAGAAACCCACAGTTGGACCTGGACTTATTTTAGCTCTTGGAGAAAAACTTAAAAAGCTGATTATTTTGTTTTTCAGTGAAGTATCACTGCTTTTTGTCACTTAAAGATGAAAACTGGCAATTCCATGGACACAAGCCTAGAATAGAGGAGAGAGTTTCTTCGCTTTAATGTTATTTTTAAACAGGGAAAACGCTTTAGGGAGTGGACTGCTCAGGCAGACATAATGTGATAGGTGTGATTACCATGCACACAGATGATGTGAAATGCGGGTGGTGTTGGGGCTTCTAGAAATAGCACTGAGATCAGAAGATCTGCCCCTCCACTAGCCGAAGTATCTCCAGCAAGCCTTTTGACTTTTTTGTACCTCAGTTTTGGCACCTGGAAGATTGGAGTGAGATTGTTTAGTTGTAATTTGTTTGCATGATTGCTAATAATAAGTAAAATGTCATAGAACTAAAGCAGCCATTAATCGTTGAATCAATAAATATTCATTGAATTCCTAGCGTGCTCCAGACACAGTGATACATATTGAATCATGGAGATTTTTACAAATTATAGCAGTATTAGTATATGCTGGCCCAGTCACTGACTGTGAATATCCAGTTCTCTGCAAAAATTATTAAAGGCACAATGTTGCTTATTTCTTCTGATTTACTTTAGGGTTGTCACTGAAGCATTATGTTGCATTTGTGATTTAACTTTCCTCCTCCGTGTGTCACTTTGGCTTTTTTTGTACCTTCTAGGAAGCAATTGAAAAGAAAGAACAGCGAGCCAAGCGCTTCCATTTTCGATCAGAAGTAAATCTTGCCCAAAGAAATGTAGCCTTGGACCGAGACATGATGAAGAAAGGTACAATGTGTTGGGGGGTATTTTTCCACATTTCCCCAGAAAATGGGTTTTCCCTGCCATGGCCTTGTGCTTCTGGCCTTGCCTTGCATGTCCAGTCCTCATCCAAACACTCCCAAAGGAAGGGACTTGCGAAGCCTCCATTTCTGAGGTGATGTGTTTAAATTTGAGCTGCTGGGGCACCTGGGTGGCTCAGTCGGTTAAGTGTCTGCCTTCAGCTCAGGTCATGATCCTGGAGTCCCGGGATCAAGCCCCACATCGGGCTCCATGCTCAGCAGGGAGTCTGCTTCTCCCTTTGCCCCTCCCCTCGCTCTCATGCCCTGTCTCACTCTCTCTCTCAAATAAATAAATAAAATCTTAAAAAAAAAATAAAGTTGAGCTGCTGTTAGCTGTGTCTTTAGATGCTATAGCTGGAAAAGAGAGATCATCTTGTCTGAGAAAGCCCAGAGAAGGTCACCCAGTTAGTGGTAGAGCTGAGATTAGAACCTATACTTCTACAGAATCTTACTCATTTTCTGCTTTTATCATGGAAGTGTTAACTTTTCTTTGCCTTTATTTTTTATTTTTTAAAAGATTTTATTTATTTATTTGACAGAGAGAGACACAGCGAGAGAGGGAACACAAGCAGGGGGAGTGGGATAGGGAGAAGCAGGCTTCCTGCTGAGCAGGGAGCCCGATGTGGGGCTCGATCCCAGAACCCTGGGATCATGACCTGAGCCGAAGGCAGACGCCCAACGACTGAGCCACCCAGGCGCCCCTCTTTGCCTTTAAATGTAACGGAAGTGTGGGACGTCTGGGTGGCACAGTCAGTTAAATATCCGACTCTTGGTTTCGGCTTAGGTCATGATCTCATCAGGTCATGAGATTGAGCCTCACATTGGGCTCTGCGCTCAGTGCAGTCTGCTTAATTAAGTCTCTCTGTCCCTCTCCTTCTGCCCCTCCCCCCACATGCTCGTTCACGCGTGTGCTTTCTCTCAAATAAATAAGTAAATAAATAATGTAATGGAAGTGTATCACACTGATAGTTTTTTTTAGGGGAGTCAGGAATACTGGGATTGGTAGGGGAAAACCATTAGTACTTGTGTGATACAGGTTTGTAATTTTATTTTTGTGTTTTATTAGGGTAAACATTTTGCTTCCTAGAACTCACCCTGAATTACATATATAGTAATCTGCCTCAGTCTTCCAAAGCAATTTATAAATAAAAAGAAAAATTATTGCTTTTTTAATTCACAGCCCATATTATTCCACTCTAATATAAATCCATCAATGCAAAAGGTCTCCTTTAGTATTTGCAAATTTGGGTATTTGTGAAGGGCTTAGTAGGCATCCTTCTGAATGCATGTTAAAGGTCTCTGCTTTGCTGTGTGAGTTTTTCTTGTTGGGAACTTGCTGTTTTACCAGGCACTATGTCAATTAGCACCTTACACACTCGTTTCTTACTCATTTCTCACAACAGCCCTATGAGAAATATATTTTTATCCCTATTCTACAAAGAAAGAAACAAGCTCAAGGAAATTTAATAAATGCCCAGGGTTACACAACTAGTAAAAGTAGAGTCAGGATTTGAACCCAGGTTTTCTGACTCTAAAGCCTTGCTCTTAATTACTTTGCTCTATTGCCTTATAGTATGTATATGATACCATAAACCCAAACCTCCTCAGTCCATCCCAGTGGACAGAGTAGCTTGGATACAGAGCTCAACTCTGGATGCTGCTTTACTCTTTTTCTGCACCATGAGTTCAAGTTGGAAATATGACCTTGCTTCCTGTGTAGGCTGGGTTTCCAGGCATCTGCTTGAGTGGATTTCTGTTTTAGGAAAATAGAGCAGCTGTGCAGGCTTGACATTCATGTGCCTGTACAGTTTGGGCTCAAGTAGACCTCTGAGGCCTCTCACAACTCCACCTTTAAGCACCATAGTTTTACTATACCTGTTTACTTCTAGTCCTATGAACATTTCTTATTTTTTTTTTTTAAAGATTTTATTTATTTGTCAGAGAGAGAGAAAGAGCGTGTGCACAAGCAAGGGGGGAGCGGCAGGCAGAGGGAGAAGCAGGCTCCCCACTGAGCAAGGAGCCCGATTCAGGACTCGATCCCAGGACCTGAGCCGAAGTCAGACGCTTCACTGAGCCACCCAGGCATCCCATCTTGTGACATCTTGCTCTGATCTTATTCATGCCTTTTAGTCTGCTGATTAGCCCTTCCTTATCCCATGCTTTATCTGGTTCAGATGTCTCTTCCTTCGTAAAGCATCCCTAATCACCCACTCAAATTTCTCTCCCACCTCTGTTGGAACTCTTTAGTGTGCTAAGCCCTCCTGGAATTCAGTCTCAGTTTCTTTGTGAATGTGGGCAAATTATTGAACCTTTTTAGGTCTCAGTGTCCTTGTTTATGAAGTGGGAAAATGATATCTACCTGAAAAGGATCACTTTCAAGGTTAAGTTTTAATTTAAAAAAAAAAGAAGCTTTAGGGACACCTGCGTGGCTCAGTCGGTTAAGTGTCTGCCTTCGGCTCAGGTCATGATCCCAGGGTCCTGGGATCAAGTCCTGCATCGGCTCCTTGCTCAATGGGGAGCCTGCTTCTCCCTCTGCCTGCCGCTCTTCTCTCTCTCTCTCTCTGACAAATAAATAAATAAAATCTTAAAAAAAAAAAAGCTTTAGTGTTGTTTTTGTTTCTGTATTTTTGGAAAAGCAGTCCTGATTGATCTACCTAGGATGTCAGCTAGAGCAGGTTGTTCATTACAACTTGTTTCTCATCTAGGAGGCCTCATGACCTAGGATAGTGTTGCTGAACTCTAGAGAACCCTGCTGCCTATCCCAGATCAATTTAAATTAGAATGGGAGGGGGGGTTGTAAAGGTCCCAGAGATAGTTCTTTCTTTTGTGTCTCCCCAGGTAATTCTAATGTATAGTCAGGATTGAAAGCCTTTAATGTTATGGTTAAGAGCATGGGTTCTGAAGCCTGACCTGTCACTTTCTAGCTCTGTGACCTTGGGCAAGTTATTTAGCCTCTGAACCTCAGTTTCCTTATCTGGAAAGGCAGGACTCTTATCCCAGGACCCCGGGAGTGTTTTTTGTTTTTTTTTTAAATTTTTAAAATTATTATGTTAATCACCATACATTAATTACATCATTAGTTTTTGATGTAGTGTTCCATGATTCATTGTTTGTGCATAACACCCAGTGCTCCATGCAGAATGTGCCCGGTTTAATACCCATCACCAGGCTAACCCATCCTCCCAACCCCCTCCCCTCAGTTTGTTTTTCAGAGTCCATCGTCTCTCATGGTTCGTCTCCCCCTCCAGTTTTCCCCCTTCATTCTTCCCCTCCTGCTATCTTCTTCTTTTTTTTTTTTCTTAACATATATTGCATTATTTGTTTCAGAGGTACAGATCTGTGATTCAACAGTCTTGTACAATTTCCAGCGCTCACCATAGCAAATACCCTCCCCAGTGTCTATCACCCAGCCACCCCATCCTTCCCACCCCACCCCCCACTCCAGCAACCCTCATTTGTTTCCTGAGATTAAGAATTCCTCATATCAGTGAGGTGATATGATACATGTCTTTCTCTGTTTGACTTATTTCACTCAGCATAACACCCTCCAGTTCCATCCACATCGTTGCAAATGGCAAGATCTCTTTCCTTTTGATGGCTGCATAATATTCCATTGTATATATATACCACCTCTTTATCCATTCATCTGTCGATGGACATCTTGGCTCTTTCCACAGTTTGGCTATTGGGGACATTGCTGCTATAAACATCGGGGTGCACGTACCCCTTCGGATCCCTACTTTTGTATCTTTGGGGTAAATACCCAGTAGTGCAATTGCTGGATCGTATGGTAGCTCTATTTTCAACTTTTTGAGGAACCTCCATACTGTTTTCCGGAGTGGTTGCACCAGCTTGCATTCCCACCAACAGTGTAGGGGGGGTTCCTCTTTCTCCACATCCCCGCCAACATCTGTCGTTTCCTGACTTGTTAATTTTAGCCATTCTGACTGGTGTGAGGTGGTATCTCATTGAGGTTTTGATTTGGATTTCCCTGATGCTGAGCGATGTTGAGCACTTTTTCATGTGTCTGTTGGCCATTTGGATGTCTTCTTTGGAAAAATGTCTGTTCATGTCTTCTGCCCATTTCTTGATTGGATTCTTTGTTCTTTGGGACCCCGGGAGTTTTTATAGGGTTATTGAGAGGCTTTATTAAAATGTTACAGTTCTTAGAGTGGCATATAGTAAAGTGCCCAATAAATGTTGTTATCATTATCTGGTGTTCTCCAACTTCAGGCAGCCATCCAAGTGGCCTAGCCTCTTGGGAGAATGGGGACATTGGAATAAGTATCTTGACTCCTGCAGCCACACCAGGTGTCAAGTTATTTCTTCTTCTTCTTCTTAATTCCAGCAATAATAAAAGATACCACTTGATAAATGCTTATTATGTGCTTGTCACTCTGCTATGTGGTTAACTTAATCCTTTGAGCAGTGCTGTGAGGGGGAGAGTATTCATTTGTTTTACTGATGAGGAAACTAAGGTGCTGAGTTTGAGAAGCTCACTCAGGTCCTACAGCTAGGTAAGTAGCAAGGCTGGGATTTGAAGGCTGGTCTGACCAAGGCCTGTATTCCTAACCTCTCTGCCAGCATTCAGTGACATAGTTTGGGATATGTTGACTAGAGCATTCTGCCTCAAGAGTTCTTGCTACTCTTGAGTGATTCAGTGTCAAGCAGCTTTAGTCTCCTTATCCCCAAGATCAAAGCTCTCATGTTTGGAAGGGACTTAGAGGTTATCTAGACCAACTTCCTACCCAGTGCTGCAGGCCTTTTGGCAAGGTTCTCAATGGTCTTTTGGCCTTTGCCAGAACATTTCCTAGTGGTGGCACGAGAACTATTTATGAAGCGGTCAGTCTTATGTTTGGATACTTCCTCATGTTGAGCAGAAATTGCTTTCTGGTAATTTCTGTCTATTAGTTACTCTGTGACTCTTAGAACAACATTAAGTCCTTT